GCGAGTCGCCAGCTGGCGACCAGTTCTGAAAATTTAGTTGCCAGTGCTCAATTTTTGGTCGCATTGGCAACCAGTGAGTCGCAATTTCGAGCCCTGTTAAGTTGTATTTTAGACTGTTGAAATATTAATGAAGAGTTAGTGTTGACATGCTCACGATATTAATCTAATGTATTGATCGATGTGGTGTTTTCAGAATGAGCTGCCTGATATATCAAAACGCCAACAAAATTGAGGGCAGAAAGTGATTCAGTATTAACTATAAAGTATGCTTAATTGCAGGTTAAGTGAGCTCTATGGAAAAGATGACAAGGAAGACAGAGACGATGAAAGTGGGATTCCAGGCATTCAAGGTAAAACATTTTTGTTCCCTGATTTTTGTTTCGTATGCCTACTTGTATTAGACAACCAATGAACTTGTATGTCCTGGTAGGATTATTTGTCACTTAGTATTAACAAGCTACTAGCTGTTTTGGTTTACCATTTAAAATATTATGTTTCTTCTTTTCACAGATCAGGATGATGATAGCAATGACGCCATGGTCAGTGTTTATTTATTGTCTTGTGACATAAAATAGTATCACATCCCACTCGAAATCGTAGTGTAGTTCATACTGCTTTTAAAACTTTGATGGAATTTTCATGAGTTCTTATTAAAAACATAAATTTTACAGTTTGGTTAACAATATTGACTGTGTTGTACTGTCTCTTACTTTGAACATTGCAACATTTGATATCTAATTAGATCATGTTTTTTCATGTGTTGCTTACAATCAGATGTAAACCAATGGTTCATTTATATATTCTTCCAGTGTACAAACTGTTTAGGTAAAAGGTGAACGATTGGAGCTCACTGATTGGGTTTGAAAGATTAAATATCTCAGTTATTGCAAAGCACGTGATTTACTCAGGGTCTTGAAGATCATTAATTGTTGGGGTACCACTGACAAACTTTGATTTAATTGTTTTGCTCAACCTTGTCCAATGATTGCTTGTTATTCACAGGATAAATCAGACTCTGAGAATGAATTGGATGACACTATAGGACCACTGGGTAGAGGTAGGTTAATTCAGTCCTTCCACATTAATTGCATTCAACATTTTGCATGCTACAGACTTCAGGCCTACTTTAGGGACTGGAACTAGAACCATGTGCCAAATAAGATATTATCAATTTAATCTCAACTCCACTTGGTAAAGTGCAGTAAGCCTGTCCAACAATATTTTTAGTGCAGGAAACCAGTTTAACTGGCCATTTGTAGTTCCCTTAGGTCACGTTACTGCATGCAACACAGAACATTAAAACGTCTGGACTTTGGAAAAGCAAAACCTTCCCTATCAGACCTGTTACTATTAGCTTAGACCTTAGTATGATTTTTATAATTTTATTCTGCTCTCCGCAAGTTACAACCTTTTTGGAAGCCTTTAATCTTATCTCTTCCCAAACCACAAACTTAACTACTAGTGGACTTCAATCATTCAGTTATTTATCAGCAAAACTATGAAATTCTCTCTAAGACAATTTGCAAACCTGTTCCCAGTTACAGGAATTTAATCCGTAACTTAGATAATATTTAATGCTTGACAAAGAATTATGTGCTAGGTATAATTACATTCACCCTAGGGTTTATAGTTACTGTCTTATATTGTATTTTTTGCTTGGAGACATTAGCTTGATAAATAGCTGCTCTTAAATTTTAATTGAAGTAAAGTTTAGGTATCTATGATGACAATGAGGGTACTAAAATGTACCAAGACAAAAAAAAAATGCAGCTTTAAGAAATAGAATTATAACATGGTAAAAATCAGATCAAACAGTAATGTAGAAACGAATTAACCCACATAGTGTTCTCTTTCACACAGAAGGTGATGATGAGGTGGAAGAAGGACCTATCGTAGAAACAGTTTACATCAGCGAGAAGGGAGAGGAGTATTTAGGACAGGTTAATACTTCTATTTGTTTCCTTCTATGTTTAAACTGCTAGATACATTCTAGAGACATACTTAAAAACTTTTTGCACATTTTGGTAAAAACAAAATAAAGTAGTTATAGGCAAGTTAAGGTCACGTTTTCTCCAGTTTCATGTGTGTTTCTTTAACATAAAATCAGGCTTTCGTTCACAAATTGAAAAGTGAGGAGTCCACTAAATATGCTTTTCAATAAAACTTTAAAAGCTCCCTGAGTAAATTTTTGATTAAAAATAGGAGACCACAGGACACTCCCACAGGCTCAGAGTCTCGCATTTGACTAAAATTGCTAAATAAAATGCAACACAGTGCTATAAGAAAGAGACCCAAAGCTGAGTAAGGAGGATTTATGTGCTTCAAGAATGCTCAAAGGTTGAATGAATTTTCAACATCACAAGAAATGTTTGGAGATCGGACAGGAGAATTTTTGTTGTCCCATGATTTCACAGATTGAACTTGAGCAGACCTGTTATTTTTTTGTAATAGGAAGGTGAGGCATTGGAGGAGATTGAAGATGAAAACAAGAGTATTCTTTGGGCACTTCTCAAACAGGTTAGCATGTGTAAATAGTCTATCCTTAATGTTGGTATGAATTAAGCTTGCCTATTACATATACTTCTTTAAATTGTTCTGATACAGTAGTAGTATTGCTTTCCAAACCATTGCAATAATTGCAGTTATGGCTAGTTTTGAGGGTTACTGTTGTAAACATTGTCTTTGAAGAACTTCACTAAGATACCACAATTTGAAGGTGGCTCCCTATAGTTTTACGATCGCATGTGCACATAGGAGGAAAGCTCAAGCAATCTGCGCGTGCTCAACGGAAAATGTAAGTGTTTCTCGATTTTTATGACGTCAACATGAGCACAAAAAGCAAAACGGACGGTAAATTTTCTTGTATTTCCTTCGGTGAATGTTTTTAAAATTTTGCTCAGTTGCAACCACATACAATTCCTATAAAATACCCTATTTTTGTTAAAATCTGTCAGAACTAATCTAATGTATTTTGAAGAATGGCAAGTTACAGAATATTGGATAAACTGTGTGAACAACCTTAACTTTTTACCAATTCAAAATGTCAGGCAATATCATTTCCATGATGTGGCAAAGTATGAAAAAATTTCAGCAAAGGAAAGTATAAATATTTAGGAGTTTAGGCTGAAATGAGAAATGTATCTGCCTGCCATTGGATGAGATGTTGCCATGGTAACAGCCTTGATCCAAAAATTGACAATAAAAAAATAAGCCTTATTTTAACAGTACCCATACTCAGTAAATCTCAACAGGGAAAACTTTAAGACAAATTAACTAAGGTTCTTTTTCTAACTCGCGCTCTATAGGGAGGGTGTTCATAAATACTCTTGGGAGCCACCTTAATTCAGTCATGCATCTACAGAACTTCTGAGACAGTCAAGAATATAATTACTTAACATTATTTGACTAAAATGATCAAATGTTTTCACATCATAATTATCTCCCCAAAGATGGCTTACTGGGAAGAGTAGTTACCCAGAACTCTGGTATGTTGATGGTGCAGTGTTCCACCCAAAGGGAGAAAGGCAGTGTAACATTGTAATCAGTGTAGAGTTTATTTGATGATTTGCTGTGTTTTGGCTAACAGGTTAAACCAGGAATGGATCTTTCCAGAGTAACTTTGCCAACCTTCATTCTGGAACCCAGGTCATTTCTTGACAAACTGTCTGATTTCTATTTCCATGCTGATATTCTGTCGAGGTAAATACTATGACCCACTAGTATGTAATACTGTAATATTACACAATAATTTATTGTAAAACCCTAGCTTTAAGTCAAAGGTTTATCCAGTATGTTCTGCTTTGGAAAACCTATGTCCAGTTGAACTCATGCTGCATTTGTTTCGCCACAACACATTGCACAAGTTTACAGTGATAGAAGATATATGATCAAAAGGACGCATGTTTCCTATTAACAGAAAATGGTGTTTAAGTTTCATAGCCTTTTGCATGCTTTGAGTCCTTGTGACATTAACCAACATTCTTTATAATCTTTATCATCAGGGACAATTTAGGGTTCAAAATGTAACTTTCTGTAGTTAATTTCTTGNGGTGAGTTTTATACTAGCTACCATATCTGATTGATTTCCTAATATAAAGGTTTAAAAACAAAAGTTGTGTTGTGGTTTTCTTTAGTTATCGGACAAAACACGAGTCGCCAGTGCTCAATTTTTGGTCGCATTGGCGACCAGTGAGTCGCAATTTCGAGCCCTGCATATACAAAAGGCCACAAAACAAAGGAAACTAATTACACAAAACTTAACACCAAACACAAAGCTAAAAGCACAAACAAATCTCACAAATTCTGGCACCTACATATTATGAGCATTGTTCTTCTAAAGAAAGAGTTGAAACCATGATTACAGTATATATCTGGCTCTGCACACCACTGAAAGCGATCGTCTGTAGGAAAAAAGATGGCAGCTGACCATTTTTCCACAATATCTTCCAAACTTAACACATCCCATTAGGGACAGGGAAAGCCATATTTTGGCAATATGGACCCTATACTAACAGCATTGTGTATGCTAGTTTGAGGTTTTTAGAATGTTTCAGTATTTTTGAATGTTGGTAAGGTTTTCATGTATTAGGAATTGTGGGCAAATGTACCAATGCTAACTTTTTCCCATGGAGGATTCCACTGAGCTACAAGAGCATTAAGGGAGCTGGCAATAAGTGGGAAGTTTGTTGTATTTGATTTTAGTTGCATGGCATAGCTCCCAGGAGTCTCCTGTTTCTGTTGTGTCTTGTATAGTGTATTTTGTTGTGGGCAAAAAGCCCTTTTTGTTTGTCATTGTTGCCTGGCACTTTTGAACTTGTTAAACAATTGACTGATGCTACCATTTGCTTGGTCACTACCAGGGCTTAAAGAAACCTTACAATCCTATTCTGGGTGAGACATTTCGCTGCTTTTGGCTTCACCCAAATGGTACCAAGACACACTTTGTAGCCGAACAGGTTTCACATCATCCTCCAGTGTCAGCATTTTATGTGTCCAACAGAAAGGAGGGGTACGTGGTCAACTGCTCATGCCTGGCCAAGTCAAAATTTTATGGTGAGCTCTAGTTTTTCAGCTGTTTTAAAAGATGCCTTGTTGTCAACTTGTTTGTGCTCAAAGCAAATTATTGATAAATAATTTTTTAAACAGATATATACATCAAAAAACACGAATCCGAACGGCTCGGAGTTTATCGAATTCTTTAATACGGAAAATGTATTGTCAGAAGAAACTGCNTCTAGTTTTTCAGCTGTTTTAAAAGATGCCTTGTTGTCAACTTGTTTGTGCTCAAAGCAAATTATTGATAAATGAAGGTGTGGACTGTCAACTTTGATTTGTATTTAAATGGCATAACACCATTTCTTAGAGCTTTTTGAAAACAATTTGTGAATGTACAATCCCTTGTAATCTTTATTCTATTTCGCTTGTTATGCCTGAATATGGACTTTTATCTACACTGTGTATTAGTTAATTTTTGTATAGAGAGAGCCTTCTGGTAAACCAGAAAAGAGTTCCTCTCTTCAAGCAGACTTTTTGTACTATGTGGAAGACTTCTGATCATCTAAAAATCAGGGGTTTTTTGGTTTTTTTGGTTTTTTTTTTTGTCAACCCCTTTCTGCAGTCACTCAATATTTTACATCAATGTTTTGGAACAATGTTTTTTTTCTTCCCCCAGGAAATTCATCTTCTGCCATTTTGGATGGAACTGCAACAATGACTCTTCTGCGGTTTGGAGAAGAATATGTGATGTCCATGCCTTATGCTCACTGCAAAGGTTTGTTCTAATATATCAGGGAGCGTAACCAAACTCTGATCCAATCAGATGTTGACCTGAACTAGTACGTCACTTAGCAAATGTAATGTATAGTACAATAGCTTTACATGTGTGCTATACCTTTTAGTTCATTTCTTAGCCACCTTCTTCAGAACATTATTACTTCTTCAATATTTTTCTCAACTGTTCAGTGTTTAGTGAGTTGCTGTTGTATAATATGCTGTTACAGTAATGGGAGCTTACAATATTTTTTGTTTTTTGTTCTCCAGGTATTTTGATCGGCACTCTAACAATGGAATTGGGAGGTGTCGTCACCATAAACTGCGAGAAGACTGGGTACAAGGCTGAAATTGAATTTAAACTCAAGGTATAAGCAGAAATTTTCTTGATGTGATTAAATGGCCTAATTTTATTAGCATAACCCCAGGTGTGCTTTACTCTTGATAAACACACAAGCAGTAATTGACATGGTGTGTATCGGTATACTGCTCAGATTCTCTATCAAGGTTTTCAAAATGCTGTTTAATTGTTTCTTTTTTGTAGCCCTTCTGGAAGAAGAGTGGAGAATCCAATTACATTAATGGCAAGATAAAAATGGGCAAGGAGACGCTGTGTAGGATAGAAGGAAAATGGGTTAGTCTGTCCATCAGTCTAGATTTCTGTTTGGTGTTTTTCTAAATTCTTTAGTTCTTTACTAGCTGTCATATTAGCATTGGTAACTGCACAGACTTTCTGTAGTATGGCAGCTGGTAACTGACACAACAATTGGTGAACCAGCAAGACAATTTTGAAGATCAGAAGAACAGCCAGGCCTGTAATGAATTGCTAATTATTTTTCATCTTTACTTATACAAACATAAAAAAGACATTCACAGTCTGGTTACCAAATGCTCTGTATTTGGGTTTTAGATCCATAGATAGAAACTCAAGTATGAGTGTGTTAAGCATTTCAGTGCTATTTGTTTTTTCATCAGTTATTTCTTTCTTGTTGTTGTTGTTTTTTTAGGATAGCGAGATTGTTATCACAGACTTGAAATCCCCAATTCCTGCAGGGGTGAGTAGAGGATTATTTCTGAAAAAAAATTCTTCATTTTATGTTATTATGAATACACTTGTCTAGTTTTATTTTCTGCACTGGGCAATTTCTAATGTACACTTACTTGTGGGTCTCTTCCTACTGCGAAGATTAAAGTATTAATTCTCCTTAGTGTTTGCTCTACAGTTCCTATCATATGTTAGTTTTGAGAATTCAGTGGAACATCAAGACAATATCTCCTAGTTGGTGATTTTCTTTATTGCCATCAGCGTCATCATTTTGAATGGGATACAGTAAAGAAAAAAAAAATCCATATTAATCCCTTGAGACACTTTTTGTGTGATAATTTTTGTAAGATAGGGAAATATTTTTTGGTTGTTTTAGGAGACTGAACCTCTGCCTGAACTGTTTTGGGATCCAACCCCTGAAATCAGAAACCAGAGACTTCCAAGACATTTGGTGGACTACAGCACTCAAGGAGAATTTGAATCTGAGAAGTAAGTATCATGACCTAGTGGATGAGATGAAAGATATCTGATACACTTTTGCCCCTTTGGTAACTGAATGGTAGCCTTTTAAAATCATATTCATTTGATGGTCTACAATCATGGACAAAAGCAGTTGAGATACTCCTCAAAAAAGACCTGTTTCATTGAATGGATGTGTTTTTCAATCTCCAATTTGACATTTCGACTCCTCTCCCCTTTTCAGTGTTGTAACCACGTGACCGTGTCCACAGAGCGTATTTCAACATTGAAAAGGGGGAGACGGGGGTTTGGCTATCAACAAAAAAGATATTTTTTGAAATTATGGAAGGACGCCGATAGAAAGCGTTTGTTTTGCTCAAATGTGTCAACACTTTTGTTCATGATTGTAACTCTCTGCTGTCCTCCTCCCCCCAATTTGTCTCCTTACACAAGCAATATTACAATAACAAGCCCCTGCTCCCCCTTCAAATATTTATTTGTCAATTAACTTACCTAACACTTTTATCACAGAACATTTTATCTCATTTGTATATATTGTGCATGTCACTTAANCTCTATGCTACTCTATTCTACTCTACTCTATGCTATGCTACTCTACTCTATGCTATGCTACTCTACTCTACTCACCGCGCCACTCCGCGCCAGTCCGCACCACTCTGCACCACTCTACTCTACACTACTCTACTCCATGCTACTCTACTCTACGCTACTCTATTCTACTCTACTCTATGCTATGCTACTCTACTCTATGCTATGCTACTCTACTCTATGCTATGCTACTCTACTCTATGCTATGCTACTCTACTCTATGCTATGCTACTCTACTCTACTCTAAAATTCGATCATTTTTTGGGACACATTTGGTAGAGTCCAGGTTGCTGTGCATCTGTTCAGTAATAGATCACAGAAGATGTCAAAATGAGGCAAGAACATGAGTTACACACTTGCCTTATAGCTTGTGTGCCACTTTGTTGTTCTTACCACACTTTGACGTCATTTGTGGTATATTACTGAACAGACACACAGCAACATGGAATCTATTTGCTAATCTGACAACTAAAGTTCACAGTTCTAACAGATTGCAATATAAAAATCTGGCTCTCATTTCAATTTTTTACCAAAGAATACTCATTTCTCTTTCTCTGTCAAAAATGGTTTAGGAAAAGGCAACAAATGAGAAGTTTATTCTTGAAGAAGCACAGCGGAAGGGTCACAGGGAGAGAAGAGAAGCAGGAGTGGAATGGATTCCTAAACTGTTTGAACGAGATCCAGCTGCACCTAATGCAATCAACCGATGGCTTTACAAGTACAGAGAGTAAGTGATGTATAAACTGTCATTTGCATTATTTTGTTGTCCTCTGTTTGGTAAGTGTTCTCCCAGAAATTTGAAGTTGGCAGAGAATGACTAGTAATAGCCAGCACTGAGCAGTCAGAACCATATAATGTCATTACCAAAAGTCTCATCATTATAACCTCTGTATGTCTAGTAAGTTTGGTTGAAGTAGTGAGAAAGGTATTTTTAGGTGATACACATTCGGAGGCGGTGTAGTGTCACATGAGGTATAAACTGAAGCCAAAAGTAGTTGCTGGTTCATGTACAGTTTACACAAGGACACTAGCTAATATCATTGAGATTCTTGAGTTTTCATCCAATTTCTCAAACTCATTAAGTGTAAACAAAGGAAATCATGACCGTGACAGTGTTTAGATATCTGCTCTTAATTAGCATAGATTTTTATGATTTTACATCTCCATTTTCTCCTTAGTTTTAGTTTCGATCGAGAAGATATATCAAACATTCAAGACAGTGTTTGACCACATTTCCAAACACCTCGAAGTTCATCAAAAATACTGCGCTGCACATCGTTTTTTCAACTCTCTTCTCAGTGTTTGGAAATGTGGTCAAACATGGTCCTCCGTGTCTGATATATTATGTGCATTTTGCTGTTCCAGAAAATATCCATACTCCCCCCACAGAAAGGATTGGAATTTCCTGGGGAGTGGGGAGTTCTGGAAGACAAAAAAATTTTTAAGAAATGTCCTAAAGCTTAACTGGAATTTCCAGAGGAATGGGGAGGTCTTAGAAAAAATCCCTTCCGTGGGGGAGGTATCTATATTTTCTGGAACTACACATTGCTTTCAGCCTGGAGGGGCAATGTAAAGGTATTAGAAGCCAAAAAAAAAAACTTAAAGAATTTTTCCTAGGTTCATTAATTTTTGCATCCTGAAAATTTCAAGAGCAGCCAGTGTGCTCAGGACTACTGGATGGTGATTTTAGCTGGTCATTGGTGAAGAAAACTGCATGGTGTGGCTGGTCATATGCATCCTCGCCCCCCCCCTCCTTGAACATTCCCTATGTTGCAGGGCAATGTTGCTTACTCCTAACATATTGAGGGAATATGAGCTTTCATTTCAGTGTTTTCTTTTGCTAAGTCTTCCTTCTGGTTAGTGGGGGTGGGGAGGAGGGCATAGCTCACCTTCATGTTAATCTCAAGATGAGTGAATGCCGCGACAAATGACAGGCAAAGAGCCACAATTAGCTTATCAAACAGTAGATACTGGACTTCCACTCAACAACAACACTATTCATATTTACTTGATATATCTTTCTAGTGTAAGACCATGGGACCCAATGACAGACCTAAAGGAATATGAACATGAAGGTATTGTCAAGACTCAGTACAGACTTAAAGCACCCATGGTGCGAACAACCAGCCTTCTTAGTGTCCAAGCACCGGATGCTAAGAAACCAATATCAAAGCGAAAACGGCCCTCGTCAGGTCGATCTCGGGGCAGCGGTCAAGTGAAAGGATCACGACGGAATTCAATAGACCGTTCAGGTGCGTCTACACCCGATCCCGAAGCCGAACACTCAAGCAGTGTCGAGGACGATGACGATGATTCAAGCATCAAGGAAAGTATTGACCTGGCAAGTCTAGAGAAGGTATTTCAACCACTGAAGGATTTGCAGAAGGAATGCGTGCAGCAAATGAGAGCCATCAGAAGTGATCTACGTCGCCATTACTCCTCTCATCAGGATGACCTTACTACACTGCAATTCAAAGACTGGCTCTTGCTACTCCTGTTTGTTATCACTCAGGGTTTCTTCCATTGGTACTACAGATGATCGTGGGTGTTTGTGATTTGGGTTTAAGTACTTTAAATGATCTGAAAAAATTTGAAGAATAATTTGAGTATAGCAAAAAAGAAGTGCCATCATCTTTAAATATTTTATCATCCCAACATGAAGTAAGAGGTTGGCTCTCATTGCAGAATATATTGCCATAAGGAAAGCTCGTTTCTTGAGTATATTTGTAAGGGAAAATGATTCAAAACAAAGTCTGTAAAATACCATCATCTTTAAATATTTTATCATCCCATATTTTAACAAATATGACGAAGTAAGAGGTTGGCTCTCATTGCAAAATATATTGCCATGAGGAGAGCTTGTGTCTTGAGTATATTTGTGAGGGAAAGTGATTCAAACAAACAACAAGCATTTTTTCTTGATTAATCATTGAAATACTACAGTGCAAAAATGTTGGAAATCGAGAAGTCATTAAGTTTTGCTGCAAAAGTTTTAGTATATCATGCAGGAATTTAAGTGGAGAATTTGTCTAAAATGGGTGTCATTGGTTATAAGACCACTGCTACACATGAGGAAATGAAAATGAATTTCATTAAGGCTTTTTTTTTTTTTCATGTCTGGTGATTTTCCAGATAATGCTTAACCTTTACATTGTTTTTTTGAAAATGCTACTAACCATCAAATGGCTGCTTTGCAACATATTCAGAGTGATTCTGGATGATATCCTGAAGAAAACAATTGGTTCGCAAAGTATGTTCATAGCACACTCGTAGTTGTTATGGGCACTGAGTTTTGCCAAAAAACAATTGGTGTTCAAACTATGCTTGTGGTATGTACAGATCAGTGATAATGCGTATTATCTGTGGAAAAGACTTGACTCCAAAGTATGTTTGTAACAGTTCAGGTTAAGCATGCAAGCAGTTCGCAATAGCTAAACATGCCTGCTGCATTTAATTTAGCATCGCTGAGGACAGCGAAGGAGAAATGGATAAAAGCTAAATGATGTTTCTCTTTACTCTTTGTTGGGTATTATTGAAATGTATTCAACATTAATTTTAAGGAATGGCCACAAAGTTGAACAAATGTGATTTCACTTTTGTTCATGCTTTGTAATTGTACATGTATTGTTAATAATACGGATATCGAATGTTGTATTTTTATATCATGCAAGATAGTTGAGATTGTTGTTGGAGGTGACACTTAATGATGTTAAGTAATAGAATCTCAGGGCTGGTCAGATGGCACAACTTTTACTTCCAAATGGTGTGTATCTGTGTAACTGGGACCCAGTTTTGTCGTAAGCAAAAGTTGTGTTGTCTTGATTGGCACCTGTAGATATCTAATGTGATTTTTTTAGATTTTGGGAACCAAGATATAATGATAATAGTAGCTAAGGAAAACAAAACCTATAAATATCCATCAAATGCCACATCTTTCTTTTCATTTAACCCCCAAACAGGGATATTTTTCCTCATGACATTGTCCATAACCCAGTACACAAGTGTACATGTGTTACTGACAGTAATTTGAGTGAAAAAAAAGTAGCACTATTTGCTGTAATACTCTAACACAAAACATGAACTCACACAACATGCCTCAGTCCATCAGAGTAAGAGTAGCTATTTTGTTTATCCGATCGGGACAAAACCAGTGGAATGTTTTCCCATGTTTTGTGCCAAGCGGATGTCAAATTTTTAGTCATACTTTGTATAAATAAGTACATTAGCAAATTCAAATTGGGGCTTGAAGTGTGAAATTGGCTCTTTTTCAGAGTTGAACTACGTAATATTGCAGCGACCTTTTTGTGGCAAGGAGACATGGGTTTTGTTGTCCCATATTGACAGGTAAGCTACTACTCACATCTTGAGAGCAAGGGAGGACTTGCAGATAAAACATTTCTGCTCTGACAATGGCAAAAACATCTCTTGGTTTACTTGAAAGAATAATGAAAATTGGAAACTCTTCCAGTATTGAAGATTGTTTTCAACAATGGTACTCACCATCACAAATTTAAGAAACAAAATTAGAGATATATATTCAAAGTTCATTATAAACGTTTTTAAAAATTTGTCACAGTGCCCTGCAATATCAGAAACCCTGTACAAAAACAGTCATATTACTGATTAAGAAGATATTTTACCCTTCTATTTATAAAAGTGACACAAATTTATTGGAAAAGTTAAAATTATTTATGATCATGATGTGGGTGTTACTTAATGATAAGAAGTTTTAAGAGCAATTATGTCAAGTTTTTGCTTGATTTTTTTGAAACCCAGTCAATTATTGGACAAATTAAAAGGGTAACCATTGTAATTTGCACTGTATTTGAAATAAACATTATTGGAAATGGAAATAGTTAAGTTCATGAAGTTATTGATAGCAATTAAATTTGAGTTTAAGTCGGTACACTAGCTAGTTAGTGAAGTTTATTTGTTTGTCAATGGATCAGTTTTTTACTATAGCATACATTTTTGGAAATTTAAGATGATTTCTGCTGAACATTTGAGTAATAATGACAAAAATAAAGTTACCAAAAAAACCTCATAGCATGGTAATATTTTGAATACAGTTAAGAAGAATTTATCGAGACTTAGGCTCTCAAGCTGACCCCACGAGAAGAAATTGAATTTGAAGTTATCCATATTTTGATAAAAACAGACATTTCACGTCAGTTCAAAACACAATAACGCATGCTTTAAGCATTCTTACAAGGTTTGACCCTAACTTTCTCGAGAATGCTTGAGAATTTAACCGTGGGGTCTCTTACAGAACTGGATTAAAGTGAAATATTTCAAATAGTTTTTTTT